GCGGTGGCCGCCGCGGCCGGAGTGGCCAGCGGTGCAGGGCTGCGGGGAGAGCTCAGAGGTTGCGGTTTGATCTTGAGGACTCTTCATTTTTTATATGTAAAAGTGTTGATCTCTAATTGTAATGACCCGTAAAAACACTCGCAGCCGACAAACGGCGGAAAAAATCTACTAGCAGGTTTACACAATACTCCCTCCTTCGCAAAATATGAGATGAGGTTGACTTTTTTGGTCTTTATCGCTCAACTTTCACTATACTTTTCACTCATTTGTATGTCTACAAATTGGTATAAAAGGCATATAAAACAAAATTAATTTACAGGACAAATTTGATAGTACCATTTATACATGTTTAATTCATATACGTTTTGCTATGTACTATTCTTTCGTCTCAGAATGTAAGACTAGTGTCAAAAATCATTTTACACTATAGGACAAAGAGAGTACGTGTATAAGATGTCGTGAAAAGTCAAGCATGCCTTATATATTTTTTCCCGCAAAAAAGAAAAAGAAAAACATGCATTACAGTTTAGGAGGGAAGGGGTGCAGTAGCCATGAAAACAAGATGGAGCTTTTTCTCCACGAACTTTCTGATCGTAACAAGCACATGGCGATCTCAAGTTGCCGCCGGTAGGTGGTAAAAATTAATAAACAACGCAAAAAAGGGTAAAAACAAACGTGACAAATCCATTCGAAAAGTGGGGATAATACTGTAATCCAGTAGCTCGACACTCTACTGATCGTACTTGCCGGCGTAGGAGCAGATTCTGACAGCCTGTTTGGTAAACACTTGGCAAGGGAATGGAAGTTTGCACAAAAATATTTATAAAGGGATTAGGCATGGAAGGTAGATTTTTACTTTCATTTTCTTGTTTGGCATATGATGAGAATTGGCATAGGATAAAACTCTCCTCACGAATTAACAGGGTATCCCTGGAAAGAAATCGGTGGGAATTGGCTTTCCCAACTTCCAGTCACCTTCCCATTTAAACTTCCATTCCTTCTAATCAAACAGTGGATTTTTAATCTCCTTATCCCTTAACTCACATTCCCCATCTTTAATTCCTCTAAACCAAACACGCTGTGAGCCTCAGCCCGTCAGTCCAAGTCAATCAATCATAGCATGGTGAAGAAGATATGATTGATATATTAGTCGTTTAAAAATTGTACTAGATGAGACAGCGCCGTTGTAACAACCTCCTCTTTTGGACCCACCGATCACAGCCTGCTCCTCGCAGCGTACACGTCGACGCCGTCGCCGTCGCCGTCGCCGGCGTGCCGGCGGACGAAGTCCGTCACCTGCGCGTTGAACTCCTCGGCGCAGTTAGTCTTGAACAGCTCCATCGCGTGGTACCCTGCGCCGTCCATCTGCGCCTCGACGGCCACCCCGGCCTTCCGCAGCGCATGCACCAGCACCCTCTGCCGGTCCCTCGGCGGGTCCTTCTTGCGGCCGAGCACCAGGCACGGCGGCAGCCTCCGCAGCCGCTCCGCCCCGACGCCGGCCAGCATGGCCTCCGGGTTGCAGTACTCGTGGTCCCGGTCGGCGCCCAGCGGCAGCGCGAGCTCCCAGAGCAGGTCGTTCGCCGGCAGCGGTAGGACGCGGTCGTCCACCGACGCCGCCTCCGCCGCCGTCCTCTCCACGCCGCCGTGGTGCGCCTGGTTGAGTATCAGCCCCCGCAGCTGCACGCCCTCGTCCACCGCCGCCAGCGCCGCGCGGAACGCGATGCTGGCCCCGTTGTGGCAGCCCATTATGAAGATGGGCCTGCCCGGCGAGCCGGCGGCGTACGACCGCACCCAGCGGACGGCGTCGGCGGCGTCGTCGAAGGCGGCGGGGAGGCGGTGCTCGGGCGCGAGGCGGTAGTCGACGGAGGCGACGGCGGCGGGCACGGAGGCGGCCAGGACCGCGGCGTTGTTGTGGAACGGCTCGGAGGCCGCGCGGAAGAGCACGTAGCCGCCCCCGTGGAAGTAGACGATCAGCGGCAGCCTGCCGCCGCGGGGCGCCGTGGCCAGGCCCGGCACGAAGAGGCGCACGCTCGTGCCCTTGGCGTCATCGAGCGGGACGTCGTTGGAGTGGACAATGCGGCGCGCGGGGCCGCCGTCCGCGGTGGTGACCGCGACGGGCTCCCCCGAGGGCGCCGCCGGGAGGAGCTTCGCCTGGCCGTTGCGGGTGAGCGAGCCGTCCGGGTTGAAGCGGATGTTGAGGTACTTGTACGGGTCCATGGCTCTCACCACCCACCGCGTCGCTGTGAAAAGCTGCCGGCGAGGCGAGAACGGCGTCGACCTGGGCGCTGCTCTCAGTCTCAGTCACACGATACGGCGGTGGAGCTGCGCAGCTGAGCGCGGAGCGCATATATAGCTCGCGCGGACTGGAGCTGGCGCGCGGTTGCCGGTTGGTAGTTGCGAGGTGAGACTCGGCTTTGAGAAGCGCACTAGCGAGCTCGCACTGCTCCCACTGGAGAGCGACGCGGGCGCGCGCGTGACACCCGGGGCGTGGTGGTGGGTTGTCACATGATCGACGGGTGACGCCGCGGCGCCGTCCACACAGTGACACGGCGCGTGGGCTACAGCCGAAATCGGACGGCCGGGGGCGGCCGAGCCCCTCCAGAATTCTTACCTGAGATTGGACGGACGGATGGATGGACGGGAAAGCCGGGAAAGGAACCTGGCGGCGAGGGATCGATACCCCGGCTCGCCTGCCTGTCACCTGATTGATTGACCTTAATGGCGCGCCAGCTAAACGCCACATGCACCTTGTACGAGTGGCCGGCGTGCGGCCACCCCGGCCGTGCCGTGCCGTTACTGCTACTCTATCGTGCAACAGCGGCGAAGTGACGAGTGGTGAATGCTGATCCAGATCTACCGATCCGGCAATTAAATTTCTGAAAGAGAATGCTCGCAACAAGTGTACCGCCCGCTGCTTTGTTGCTCTTAAATTTGATTTGAAACAGTTCACATTTATTATCGTTTATTATCTCGGTCTCAAACGAGTGAACAACCAACATAACATAAGTACTGTCCTGCCCACTTTTCCTTTGCGGCGGCTACACAGGCGACCATGGAGTGAACTTTGATGTGATGCACAAATTTATCAACATGACAAATATGCACAGTAAACAACTTCTTCATTCGTAGTGAATTTTGAGGATAATATTAACCAACATGTAAACAGTGGAATAAACTCAAACAACATGCACATATGACAAATGATCTAATGTGGAAAAAAAATCTCCTATCTTCTTTTGCGGGTGGTTACAGCTCACATAATATGCATGACCCAGTACCACCTTCAGCTTCTCATTTGCAAACTTAGGACCCATTTGGACCACAGAAATTTTACAATATGTTTGACGCGTTTCACAAGTAACCATCGATTTGGTACAGAAAGAATTACTGTTTTATTGCCATCACTATACAACATTAATCAGATCAAAATCAGAATACCTACCAGGTCCCACTGCCAGGCGATCTCCGATGGTCGACTGCCAGGCAATCCCAGCCGGGGACTCGGCGATTCCGCCGCCGCTGCCGCTGCGGCTGTTACCGGGATCTCCAAGCCCTTCGGATGGGATCCGGCAACCGCCCGCGGTGGTTTCAAATCCGCGAGTGGATCCATCCCCTTCCCCGGTTTCTTCGTCGACGGAGGACGAGGATCGGGATCGGGGATTCAATAGTCCTACGAAATGGAAGGCTCGTTTTCGGGATAAGAATGCGATGGGGCGATGGATCAGTGGCATGATCTACTCACACCCGTCTCGTTGGACGACGATCCGTGATGATGAAGGAGATATTTTGGCCGGAAGGCATCTATCCGCGGAAGAAGATCTTCATATTGGTATGTGTTTCGTTATTGATTTGTTTCACATCGAGGTTATTGAGTGTGTGCAGGAACCCCCGGAGGTTGTAGAACAAATTGCCACTGTTGATCTCACGGAGGAATCCGATGGATCAAAGCCGACGCAAAGGGCGACGCGGCCGACACGGGAGACGCCCGTGGCGGCCACTCCGGGACTGCCGCCGGCGACCATCTCCGGTGTGGGATGCGTCGGTGGTAGGTTTTGGGCTCTCGCGGAGTCTGAACCAGAGGGCGAAGATGACGGGGACAGCGCCGGAGGTTCACCGGTAGCCTACTCGCCGACGCCGTCGTCGGTGATATGCGAGGCTTTCGACCTTGGCTACTCGGAAGACGAGGTGGCTGCCATAGTCGATGGCAGTGTGCCAGTTGATGATCCTGCACGGCAAGGTTTGGGACCAGAGGACAAGATCGAGATCGTGCGTCGGATGGTTCATAGGCGGACGGCGGCAGCGGCGATCCGGCCATGGAAGGAGCCGATCCCAAAGGTAAGTCTCCCTAAACCAACTTTGTCTGATTTCATTACTGAGGGGTCCTGGATAGTGGTGAAGAGGAAGAAGTCTCGGCGTTCATTGGCGGCACAGGCGCCGGCGCCGGCGATCGACAGAACCAGCGTTATCCGTGCCGATCGGATCTCGCGTTTGAATTTTTTGCTTAACGCTGATGGGCTTCAACCGGAAGAAGGTTCGGACGGCTCATCCGAGGTTGCGCCTTTGGGCCAACGGTTTTTTACTAAGGTTGGGCCGGGACTAGCTGGGTTACAGACCCAGGCAAAACCGGCCGACCTCGACGTACAGGAGATCGCATCGGATCGACTGCCATCTCATGCACGATCATCGTCCAGCTTCCAATACGTATGCACTAGGGTTCGCCGCTGCGGGCACGTTGGATTTCCGCCGACTGTGGTGCGTCGGCTGAAGCGAGATCCTGCGGTTGCTGCCGACGTCATGCCGCCCAAGGCCCCGCCGCCGGCCAAGGGACCGCCTCCGGCGAAGCCGCCTGCGAGGGCTGCGCCGGGGGGTCCGGCTGCGACTGCGCCTGCAGCGGCGGCGGCTTCGACACCGGCGCCGGCTGCGTCGGCTGTAGCCAGGGCTGCGGCGCCGCCACAGCATGGGGCCACACAGCCGCCGCCGCATCGACCTTGGCCTAGGCAAATGGCTGCCGGCCGGGGAGGGGCTGCCAATGGTGTAGCCGGCCGGGGAGGTGCTGCCAACGGTGTAGCAGGCCGTGGATCGGGTGTGCTCGCGGGGGACAGTCGCAATCCTCCCCATGGTCAGTGGGGAGATGATGGTTACAACGCATACGGTCAGGGTCTTCACCGAGGTTCGTCGTCCACCGGTGGTGGGCGAGGCTACGCTTGGACGGATCATGGTTATGCTGGCCGGGGCTTTCAAGGACCACCGGGGAACTTTGTTGAGGGTGCGGTTGGCCCGAGCCGCTTCCGTGGCCGCTTCCGTGGTGGGCGCGGTGGATATAGGCGCCCTCCACGTAACTTGCCCGGGGCTGCAGCCTCGGAATCTGCTGAGATGGACACTGATGAGGCGGGTCTAACCCAGGCTGTGGTGGAGACGGTTAAGGCTCTCGCTGATGTGTCTGTACCGATGATTGCACAATCGGAGGATGCGGAGTCTGATAAAGGTTCGGAGAAGGCCGGAGGTGACAAGTTGTCCAAGTGGGCGGCTAAGAAGAAAAAATTAGTCTGTTTCCGGTGCGGGGAGAAGGGTCACTTCATGGTTGACTGCTCTGCTGAGCTATGTGATATTTGTCGGAAACCTAAGCATGTAGCGGCTGAGTGTCCGCTTCTTCTCGGACCCAAACCGGCACTTAATATCTACGGGCTCTGTTGCTCTGAGTTGATGTTCTTTGAGTCACCAAGTGTGGCTTCGGTGGCTCCTGTCGTTGAAACCTCATTCCCTGGGGTGGTTAAGGTGGTCACCGGACCGCTCACTGAAGCCCAGATAATTCAGCAGTTGCGGGAATTGGCTCCGGGGAATTTCAAATGGTCCTTGTTGAAACTTTCTGATAAGTCTTACAAAGTGGATTTTCCTTCTAAAGAGGATCAGAAGAGGATTCTCAAGTTTGGCATGAGTCGAGTTACTGGAACTAGCTTTGTGTTGCAGTTTGATGAGTGGAAAAAGAAGGAACCGCAGGGCACACCACTGACTCAGATATGGGTTCGATTTTCGGGGGCACCTTCCGAGCCCTTGGATGATTTCTTTGTCACGTGGAGCTTGGGGTCCTTGCTCGGTAAGACGGAGCAGGTGGATATGCCTTTCACTCGTGCTCACGGTGTAGCTTGTTTGTTGATAAGCGTGGCTAACATTCAGTTCTTGCCGGATGTGGTCAGATGGTGTTATGCGGGTATTGCTTACATGTTGAATGTTGAGTATGAGGATCCGGACTTGTTTCAGGATTTTGAGGAGCTGCTACCTATGGATACCTCTGAGGGGGGAGGTGCTTCTGGGTACCGTGGAGATGACACACCCGGTGATGGTGACAGGGGTTCCAGGCCTGTGGATTCGTCTAAGCCAGCAGAGTCTGCTCAGGGGAAAACACCGGTTTCGGCACCGTCCAACATGCTTCAGCTTGGCTCCGTAGGGGCTTTTTCTGCGCCTCCTCGTCTTTGGAGTGATCGTGTGGAGCTGGATGATCCGTCTGAGCATGTGGCACCGGTGATTTCGGAGGTCTTGAGGGCTGAGGAAACGGATAGACTTTCTGCACAGGAGGTTGTTTCTCCTCCTTCATCGCCGGTACCGCGGCTGGACATGACGACTCTTTTGGACGACTCGGCGGAGCTGGCCGGGGGTTCGATCAGGTCCTTCTCTGATTTGCCGGTGCGCGGATCGTCGGGACTCAGGGTCAGCGCAGTAGTCACGACCACTCCGGAGGCTCGGCGGGCCTCGGACGGGTCTAGCGGGCAGGAGGCCCGCGCACCGCGCTCTCCGTCCTTGCCGGCTTCAGTGCCGGCTACTGATCTTCTGGGAGGGTCGGCTGTTGGTCAAAGACCGGTGTCTTCACAGGCCAGTCCGGCCTCCCTGGCTAGGGAGGAGTCCTCACCTCTTCACGCCGCCGTTAGTGCGCCAGGGCAGGGGGTAGTCGGCTCACCGGCCACCACCGTGTTACGTGGGCTGGGTGGAGCCACTGCAGCTACTGTCTCCTCCTCGGTGCGCGGGGTGTGGGCTGCTCCAGAGCCAGCTGCTGGTGGGACGTCAGTTCACGGGCTGCAGGCGGCGCCGCCGACTTCTTCTCCTACGCAGGTGACGGCGACCCGGGGCGTCGCTGTGGGGGGAGGGGCAGGAGGTCTCTCCCCTTGCAGGGCTTCCTGCGAGGAGGTCATCGCCTTTGGTGGTATCCCGGATCGTGTCACCCA